CCAAGCAGATATAGTGCCATTAGGTACATAGCTGGAGTGCTGATTGTTTACTGTCGTATTTCCATCGATCACACACTTTGTACTTACATAATTGCTATCATTTCATTTATTGTCCAAGAGACCCAACCCTAGACCATACTGATTTGGAATTTGGAATAACGCATACATAACAAATAAAAAAATTTAAGCGATAGTTAAAAGAGTAAAAGAGGTTTTCTATAAATATTTTTCATACATGCCTCACAGAAAATGACACATTTTCCGTCGCTTTTATGTACCTAGGCAGTGAGTTATACAATTCTAAAAGCATAACGTTTGGTTCCATTGACGTGAGGGCAAGCCGATGCATTGCGAGCTGTAAATTCAGGTATGGACGAAAATTGCATTATGATGTATGTCTCTAACAAGAACAACACAGTTGTAAAGATGAAGGCAAAACACTGACATATATCATTGCCCTTGAATAATGCGCTACACGCAAATCTGTTATTTTTGACATTCTTCTTTATTCAATACAGAATGTACGTATGCGCATAATAATACATTAACAGAGCGTCTGGGTTGACATATAATTTCAACTGCCATAATTTAGAACAATGTGCTTTTATTATGTGCATTAGCTTACGGAAAATAAAATCTATATGCATATAATCTATAAGAGTCTTATCAAATGTATTTAACATGCTTGCTTTGATTAACACTGGATTCACAAGGTTCAATAAGTAAGTAAGCTAAATTCCATCTGAACAGTATTGTACATAATCAACTCAGTTTTCTTGTTGCTTAAAATCAGACCATCAGCATTACAGTTTTTCATTTCAACACAAGATTTGCAGGAATACTCGATAACTGGAGCATCATCTTTAGCTTTTACAAGAAAAGCCCTATCATCAGCATATAAGGAAATATTTAGGCATTTTACAGTTAAACTATTTACAAAAAATATAAATAGTGTAGGACCCAAATACTACATTGACGATGATTTTTTTTTGCATTCAGACATTTATAGACCATTTTTTATCATGATTCCTATTAGATTAATATGAGCGCAGCCAGTCATAAGCACAGCCTCTAACACCATAACTGTATAATTTACTTAATGAGGCCTAATGTGAAAGAGTACAAAAGGCTCTACTTAAGACAAAAAATAATGTAGATACTTTATGTTTGTTATTGAGGCATTCGAATATTTTCATATATACTGCAGGTACAGCATCTTAAATAATGTTCACCAGTGGAATGTGATAACCAGTAGTGCACATATTTTCGTAAACACCGACATAGCGCGCTTAAGCACTGAATGCGGCTGTGACCAGTCTGACTCAGCCTCTCAAGCCTGATATTGCTTACATCTACTGCATCTCAAAATTGGTATAGACTCAATTCGCTACGATTAGAAAGCCTTACATTTAGGATTATCTAAATCTTAATCCTATGCAATAAAAGGCTTTTGTTTTTGTGCAAGTGTATGGCCACCTAATTGGCGTCCATACACCGCCGCCGCCTTCGCCGCCTTCATCTGCATAATTCTAATTTGCTGCACTTGTTCGATTGTGTGACGCAACACTCGATCGGATATGCTCTCGAGTAGAAAAAGAACAAATCGAAGAGATTTGAACGGCGGTCGTACGGTCGTACCACTTGCCCGGCTGGCCGGTCCACTCGCTCGTATCGCCATCTCGCATATCGCGGTGGCTGATCGCCGCACCGGACCCGGATTTCTTCGTACACCCGCTGCGTTTATAAGCTGTCGCCTTGCACAAATCCAGTGGCACGCCAAATGTTATTTTTATCATTTGATATGCAAGGTATTGTACATATCGATACGTATTTGCCAAAGTACCGTAAGTCACCAAAAACTATTTCGGAGAAAAAACGTGTTTTTAATTTAAACTGGTTAAACTTTTTTAAATTGTGCAAAATTTACCAGGGTGCTTCTCTGAGGTCTATATTTAATTAAGAAAAATGATTTTTGAAGTTTTTCTATAGTTTAAGTGTTTAATTGATACTTACGTTATTTTACGGGTTCAGAAATCTCGAAGTCTTGATCAAAAATGTAACGTAAGTACACAGATACGTCAGTTTGGCGGCAAATTGTAGCACTTAAAGTATTTTGGAAAGAATTAAAAACTATCGTTTATTATTAAAAAAAAACACAAAATAACGTTACAAAAGAAAATATACTAAGTGACATATAAATCCGAACACCCAGTTTAAATGGTTTTATTTTAATTAAAGTTGGTGAATGTATTTATCTTACTGTAAATAACAAGTGAACAAATTTTCAGCCGTATCAGTTGGACATTCCGGTTTTTATACTGCTTTTTTTTAATTCACTAACGCTCTAAAAATGAATATTTCAGCCGCAGTAAAGAATCAACGTTGACGGATTTTGGTTCTTGACATCCTTTACGATCGGTTACGATGCCTAGAGTACGGAGACCTGTACGATTTCGTCAACTTAGTGAGTTTGATAGGGGCCGTATAGTGGGACTTCGGGAAGCTGGACTTTCTTTTCGGGCAATTGCAGTTAGAGTGCAAAGAAGTGTAGACACTGTGGTTAGGTGTTGTCAGGCATGGCTTCGAGAAGGCCGTACGCAAAGAGCAAGGGGCACTGGACGCCGCCGTAGAACAACAGATCGTGAAGATCGCCGCCTAAGATTATTGGCCTTGAGGTACCGTTTCTCCACTACCATTTCTCCATTGCAAATGAATGGTTTGCAGAACATGGAAGACCTATTGGCATGCGAAGTATTTACCGACGAATGAGAAGTTTTGGCTTGTTTTCATACCGGCCACACTGGGTCCTCCCTTTAGCTTGAGAACACCGACGTAATCGCCTTGAGTGGTGCAGACAACGGTCACTCTGGGATGAGGAATGGAACAGTATTGTCTTTAGTGACGAGTCTCGATTTTGTTTAGGCATGCACGATGGTCGTGCCAGGGTTAGAAGGCGACGTGGTGAAAGGAGGAATCCACAGTTTTTTGTTGAAAGACATGTTCATCACACTGTTGGAGTTATGGTTTGGGGTGCTATAGCTTATGGTTCCAGGTCACCTTTAATCTTCATCAGAGGTAACATGAACGCGCAGCGTTATATCCACGAAGTTCTAGAACCCCATCTTTTACCCTATCTTGACACCCTGGCAGATCAAACTTTCCAACAAAATAATGCCCGACCACATGTTGCAAGAGTCACAATAGTTCTTTCAACATTATGATGTCACATTGTTACCATGGCTACCAAGATCTCCCGACTTATCCCCAATTGAGCACGTGTGGGATATGATGATTGCTCAATTTGCAACGTCCTCCTCAGACTCTAGAAGCACTTCGAGAGCAGTTGGTGGTTGCCTGGAATGAGATACCACAGGAGGACATTGACCACCTCAGAAGCATGCCTAGGCGCGTTGGAGAATGCGTAGCACATCAGGGTGCATCCACACATTATTAAAGGTCAAAGGGCTTTAAAGCAGTGCAATCATTTTGAAATTTGTATCATTTACTTATTATGCTTCATTAAGTACTTATACAAAATTTTATTAAAATAAAACCATTTTAACTGGGTGTTCGGATTTATATGTCACTTAGTATAAGAAATTCTTACTAGTAAAAAATAAATATTTTTTTAAGTTTTGGAGCTTTCATCTTCATTGTCATCCTCTGCATCAGTTTCTGCTGACTCATCTGGATGAGAAGACTTACATTTTAATTTAAAGAATTCATCGTGAAACCTGGCAGGTATGACATGTAATTAACTAACGGCTGAAAATATTCTTGTACATCGCATTCCTGTTCAAATTGAACACCCACTGTCCCATTTGAGCTATCAGTACTTATTGGTACATTTATTTCTTCTTGCATAGTATGGTTACCATCATTTTCATAAGGACTCGAATTGTTAGAAGACAATAAAATTGATTGATCTATTTCGATTACGTCTTCATTTACTAAAGTAGTTTTTAAAATATTTTCGGAATTATCTAGATCAAAAATATTGTCACTTGAAATAATGGATATCGGCATAGACCCGATTTCTTCCTCAAAATAAACATTATTCGATTCATCATTTTGGCTAAGAGCCGCCAAAATCCTTTTTGTTCGTGAACTGACCATAGACATAATCTGAAAGTAACCGAGCATTTATGTTTACAATGTTTCATAGCTTCTATAAAAATTAGAATAGAAACAAATACAACAGTCTTTCTCTAACTCCAACCGATTCATTCCTGTAAATTTCTCACAGGCTTCGAGGTTATGACAGAATAACTTCTAATAAATAAACGAAATTAAATATGAAATGGGAGTTTTATAGGTAGGTACATAATGTTAGTTAAGGTTTTAATATTTTTAAATTCTAACTACAAAAAACGGTTTTTTAACTTCAACCGATTCATTCCTGCAAATTTCTCACAGACCTTGAGGTTATCACACAATCATTTGTATAAATGAACGAAATGAAATATGAAATGGAATTTTATAGGTATGTACCTGCATAATATCAGTTAAGATTGTAATATTTTTGAATTCTAACTATAAAAAAAATTAAAAAATTCTGGACACACGTTTTCAAAAAAAGCTAAAAACAAAGGTTTAAAGTAAAAGCTAGGCTTCCTACACTTTGGCAGTACCTTCTCAACTATAAAATCCTTACGTTAACGGAAAAACATGAGTTTCACCAAAAATGTCACTTACGTTACTTTGGCAAAAATGCATCGATATTGACTTACTACTTCAACTGCATTTTACACACTGCGTACTATCACATTGTATTATTTCCCCGCCTACTGGCGGTACTGTAACAGTTTTTTGCATGTTATATGTCATATACATTACTAAACATAGCAGCTAATATTATAACCGCCCATAACTTGAAAAGTACCGCTAGGATTTCGATGAAATTCTCATACATTTATACATGCCAAGGACGCATCATAAACTTTGTTCCTATAACCTGTCATCTCTATCTATCTCAATATTACTAGTTTGTTCAATGCCGAGTAGACGTATCTACTATAGCATCAGAATCCGCGACATCTAGCGATCACAATGGAGACCCGGATGAGAATGCGAACTTGATACTTCCAACCCACAGCTTGTTCTTGTCACTCTTGCAGTCGTCGATTCTGGTGATAGATGGCACTTTGTGCGGTCCTATTTCGATAGTCCTATTACTCCGGATAAAGCTTAGACCAGGCCTACACCATGCTAAGGTGTTGCCAAATAGCACGAAATAGCTGTCTACGGTTGCCCGTCTGATCGGCCGAACGAAATATATATTACTAGTTTTGTTTCAATATTGTCATTCTAAAATTGTCGATTTACTGGGGAAGTAATACTCCAGTCATCAAAAATGATTCTAGCACTTTCCTGTTCAGCGACTTCGTCTACGTAAAAAAATCCATGATTGTTTTCAAAGAAATCATTTCAACATCGGAGATTTTTATAGTCACTGGTCTAGCCGATTGTGGTCTTGAATGCGTTGCCCAAGAACCTGTCGCCTCTAGTCCTGGAGAGATATAAAGCGGATTAGGATTGACGACGTTTCACGAACGCATGACCTTTTTGTCTGTTATTTTTTAAACAAATCCACCTGTGAAAAATAACGGAAATATTTATTTGTACCGAATGATTCAAACTAAGTAGGTAGTACCACGACTTGCTTAACCATCATGTATAACATTGAGTACTGACGAATCTATTCAATCATACGTTATAGGGAAGGCTTGGGCAAGACGCATATGTTAAGGGAAAGTGTCATTAAAACAACAACCGGACAATCAACACAACCCTTTGCACATTTTGTTTGTACTTTGGTTAATCATTCTTGGGTAATAATAATTAAAATAATAAAACTTAAACATTTCTATAAAAATAGTAGCCATTAAAGGAAATCTGTCAATTATTCGTTTTGCCCGACCCCCCGGGTAAAACGAATACACCTCAAGGGCAAGAAGGATATCCTAATGAATAGAATTAATCTTGACATTCATCGCAAAAATAGCTGCCAGTCCCTTCATCAGTGCAGTTCTCGTGATCTCACTTTTGCACTGATTACACTGACTCCAATCCTCTCTTCGGAGATCAGTGTTCCTATCAGCGCACACCAAGCAGTAATAGTCAGGTTTTGAGCTTAAGCTTACCGGTTCTTCAAGGCATCGTTTCTTATTTGCCTTGCTGGAGCCTGATAACTCAGAAATTTTCGTTTTCTTATCATTCAGCATTTTAAATTTTATAGCTTGATCTGCCTTGACGGATGTATATGTAGATGTTAACACCTCTGAATTTTGCCTTTTATGTTTGCAATCTGTTTTAGGAGCAGCCGTAACTGGTATGGGTCTAATTTGCAATGGTGTAAGATTCGCTGCACATGTTGGATGTGCTATTCCTGGTTTTTTAAACCCGTTAACTGCGTTCTGAACCGAAGCACTTTTGGCGTACGCTCCTCAAATATCATATTGGTTTACAATGCGCCCTGGGTGCATTTTTTGAAAAGTATTTAGTTCTTGCTCAAAATACTTTTTTAGGGGAAAGACACAAAGGTGACATGTTTTTCTGTTGCAGATTCTAAGGCTGTATAATACTTATGGGCCTCATGACTATCTAGCAACAGTAATATTGGCCTAGTCTCACTGGGACAAACTCTTTCAACAAAGAAATGCAACCAAGCCAAAAACAGTCGTTCTTGCATGCGTTTGCGAGCAAATATGAAAAAAGGTAGAACAAAAGTTCCAGATGCATTACAGCAGCATATGACAGTGGTTAATTGGCCTTTTTCCGCACTGCATATTAGTCCAACTTGTCTTTTGTCTTTGATAGACAAGACTTTGGGTAGCTTAGTTGTACTGCTCTTCATTCCTGTCTCGTCCATATTATATATTGTTGTTGTATTTTTCTATCAGGTTCAAATAGTCAGTATAAAACGATTCCACCTGTGGTTTGTGAAAGCCTCTTGTTCTTGCTAACGAAGCTGGTCTCGGCGCTCTTAGTACAATCTCTGGGTATCGGCGTTTGAAACCAGAAACCCGAAAACCAGTCGTCTCCAGCGTCCTATAAATTAAATATAAATTCAGCTGAAGTGGGAATAATATGCTAAAATGAGGCTTATTTAAGATGGACTAGGTTAAAATACCACATACGGGCAATACGTGCAAAACGGATACGCTAACCGTTTAGCCCATATCCGTTTTGCCCAATTCATCAACACTTACAACAAGTGATGAGACTTGAAACATTGCAAATAGGTAAATAAGAAGCAATAATCACAAATTACACTCATTTATAGTAGTAACGAATTGATAATATAAAAGGTTAGCGCACAAACCTTTGCAAAACTCAAAACAATAAAAAACTATTTCATTTACCTCCACAACAAGTACGCGCACTTATGGTTTTGGATGAACTGTCATGGCGTCGCCGGACGCACGCGGGAGGTCTAGACAACGTATAGCAACGCCATCTCTTATCGATTTTTAGACCACCGATTATTTTTTTTACTCGCCCTGTGCTTCTCGTCCGGGTTTCCCCTAGTATTATAATACTGTCACGTTTATTACACATAATCTCAAATCTTGTTTGGCTCGTCGTGTAGATTGGTTAAAGGAGAGTCGCAAAAATCCTTTATCGCAGTAACAATATGCAGTCTATGTATTTTATTGATGAAACTTCGTGTTCAATGGCATACATGAAGTTAAAAGCACTTGAATTAGATATATGAGAAAACTTGTTTGTGACGTCAAGCTTTTAAATAGCGTTATCAATTGCACCATCGGATCTTTCAATTGAGAATGAAACCCATCGATTTTGGGAACATTATTTAAGCTTTGACTAATCATTTTATGCTACTTGAGAATATGTTAACAGGTCATAGATTACCGTTTTTGAAAATAAATGATACTCGTATCATTGAATGATTGTACAGAGCGCTATATTCTTGTGAATTCCACCACGCTGCAAAAAATTATTACAATAAATTGTAGGTGACTTTCTATCCAACTTTAAGAGATTTAAAACATATTTTACGCAATATATAACGTATATTTTTTTATTAAACATGATAGGTTGTGGAAACTTGAAATCCCATAATATATGAACTAGTTATTGCTTGATATGGAATGATATTATACGTGAGATTGACTATCTTTTCACACATTTTGTCATGCAGTTTATTCTACAGGGCGTCCACATCCAAACGGTTCATATCGTATCACTGAACTAACTAGCTTTTTCAATTGCTATGTTGAAAATTACAGTGTGACAGGTGACCATTCTAGTACACAGAAGTCTAGCTGTTATTTGTAGTTCATGAAGGTGAATGTGATAGCTGATGAGATATTTTTTCAAGAATCACTTTATTTGATATCTTGTCATTAACCATATCGTAGGCCTTTGAGCTACAAAAAATAACTCCACAAAATGAGCACCTTATTATTACTGTATAAAATACAAATCAATTCACAAGACTTGCACTCAATAATTACAATACGAACTTGCTTCCAGCAGCGTAGCATCCCATGGATGTAATACACGTGCGATGTATGAATTGGATTTTCATAGAAAGAAAATCAGCTGTAGAAAACTGAAAGAGCTTTGCTTTGAAGTTCGATGGCAAAAATAAAGCAACTAATGAGCTCATGTAAATAAAGTCACACGGCAGAAACACATTCTGAATTTGCACAAAGACCTATAGATTAGGAAAAAAGAACGCAGGGTTCATACATATTTTCACTTCACGTTTCATTACTTTGGGGAAAAACAGATGAAACGTTTTTAATACAACCTGTTTCTTGGAGTTTGTAAGACTAACCTAACCTAGAAATATGTAATTTTGGCGAAAACGTTGAATGTCAACATCATTGTGTATCATGTGAGGAAGTAAATGATTATCTAATTTCCAAACGATCCAAATCCATACAAGCTGAATACACAGTCAAGTCAATCAATCAGCCTGCAGGTTTCAGATCGAATCGAACTGATCTAGTTCCAATATCTATTCCTAATCTGTCAAATGTTGCGAGATACTGTAATGTTATCATATGAAAAATAGCCTGTATGGGTTCTAACGACTTCGTTATAAAACAATCCCTACAATCATATACAATTACCAAATCTGAAAAATTAACGATCGCCAACCAACCAAATCACCTGATCTGTGTCGAGTGCCGCCACCATAAATAAACATCAACAGTCTAGTAGACCGAGACATGGTGGACTAGCAATATTGTAGCGGTAGTAATGATGGGGACGCAAAGCCTGATAGCTAAGTCACCTTTAGGAAATATTTGATGACCAACACTAACAATAAGTTTTTAGTATAATGTTTCATGAGCACAGAAAACCACTAAAGGTTTTTGGTTTCATTCGATCATCTATTGTTATTAGTTTACAAAGTGAAAATGATTTCGTCAATTAAGTTGACTCTGTTCTTCCCACTAAACGTTCGTGAAGGATGTCCGGCATAAGTTAGCCCTTTTCAGGAAAGAGTTAGCTGCGGACATGTATAACAAAAAATTGAATGATTCTCTCCCTCTCCCCGTGAAGAAATCCTCCAAGCGCACACGGTCATTGCTGTGACTACTCCCGCGTGGATGACGATAGAGTCAAAATCACGAAACATGACTATAACGTCATAACATAAATTGTACTGAAGTAATCAATGGACGTACGTCGATGATAAAATCACGATGCCAGGAACATAATGACAACTTTATATTATGATTTTGCGAAGTTAGGTTATTTTTCTGATTATTTTTATTTTCATTTTATTTCATGGTTTTGAGTGATACCTTAATAATAATTTTAGTGAGGAGTTTTTGTTTTTACAGTTATAAGTAGAGTACCTTAAGACAGGAACACCAAAGACCGCAGTTTTATTCGAAAACAACCTAACCTGCTTTAACATAACCTATACCTACTATTCATCTTTCAAATATGATCGATCATGCAACATGAAAACATCGTGCATCTTTGTCGGATACATGCAAATTAGCAATACAGTTTGTTTAGACAATAAAATTCTGCTTGTCTCCGTCTAACATATCTCAAACTTCATTAAAAATATTCGCAAATCGCTGTCGTTTGTCTTTACTACAGACGTAATTGTCATATTTCGTGATTTCGACTATATTAAATTTTACGTGCTTTCAATTTCTTCGGATTCCTGAGATAAATCTACAAGTATTAAACATGTCATCAACCAAATAAATAAAATAATCGCCTAAGCGTTGGCAATTTGATTGAAGACATTCTTAACACCTGTTGATTTACCCCAAGGGTCTGAAGAACCTGAAAGCACCTGTCCCTGGGATAAGATAAATATAACAACGTCAAAAAATTGCGAACTACCCTTCTCCCCTGTAGCCCATAACCCCCAATTCTTAATCCTAATAAAAATTTTCCGAAAATGGTCACGAGCCTCTGAAACGTCAAAAAAGTGTTGAGAGATTTTGAAAAACTACAAACTCTTTGTCCTTGAAATAGTGATAAGCTTGTAAAAATTTCCTGAAAATTCGAGCGGTACTTTCCAAGATATAGACAGGCAAGGATTAGCAAACAGACAGACAGATAGACAGACCAACAAACAGACACGGACAGACCGAGGGAAATGAGTGACATGGCCAAATTGTTATATCTATGAGAAAGACAAACATTAGCTCTACGACTATATCACGAAGGATTACAATAAGCATTTCATGCGACACTTGCTTGATATGAGCTCACAGTACTGGAAAGACTTATTATTTATCGTCAAAAATGTCAAGCGTATCAGATACTATCGTTTACCAACAATTTTAATCACTGGAAATATGCCGCGCGCACCAGAAATTACATAATCATTCAACCTGGGTGTCCATCCGCATCTACATATAGCTCAGTGCCATTGGACATAAAAAAAACTATAACACTAATTTTATTTAATCCAGTGAGCCTTGAGAATTGAAAGTGCGGACTAGATGCCTCAAAACTTTCCAGTTGAGACCTCTTGTTTCGCGGCTCAATTATTATTATTATTATTATTATTATTACTATTATTATTATTATTATTGTTATTATACAATTGGATGTGGTGCTTCAGGCCCTACAAAGCGTCCCATAACTTGTAATTTTGACGTAGCTTTGACCCCTAGATAAAAGATCATGTCGCATCTACGTGCTTTTTCCAGTGATGGACTCTGGGCTTTCAATTGTTCAATGTGCCCTTATGTACTTAGGGAGCCCAGTGCACTAGGGAGTTTGAGCTGCAGGAACAAGAACAAATATTTTCCTTGCGATTTTGCTGCCGAGGCCAATTAAACTTTTAAATGATTGACCTCAGTTGATCGAGCTTGCACATTTTGAAGGTGTTGTTATTCGTTGTGGTACAACGCAAGGTCTGGTAAAGTGGACAGCTCTAGATTTCGCATAACCTTCCCTAATTCGGTGAATGTCATCGCTGCTTCTTTTTTTACAGTATAGGGTTAATCGCAAGCACTCTACAGCTTTGGGCACAGATCTATTTTTCTTTAAGTTGTACAACCATTGAAGATCGTCTTCTTGGTATCCGCCTTCTTTAGCTATGATGTCGTAACACTCTTTCATGCAACCACTGGCAATTTACAAGTTGGTGCAAGTTTGCTTTCAAACATTAATTTACGACACAATATAACTTCAATTTTCTCAAAAGGACCTTTAATCATTGGTGTCTACACCAATGATTATATAAATGCTCACTCACTATTCAACGATTTTACCATTAGCGGTATCCTTTCGAACTGATCAAAGTGACAGAAATGGTCCATTATAAAAAGCTTGTTATTCCGACCCATTGTAGCTGAACTGGCCATAGATGATCCCCTCTTCAAAGTTAACCACCGTTCTAGGCCGAATCAGATCTTGAAAAACGCTTTTTGACAATTAGTTTCCAGTTAGCAGTGAAGTTACAGTCATGCTCACTTCGCGATCGAATTTTGTACCTCCTTGCACATGCTGACAAATGTTCTGCTCGTCGGTATGAAATGCAAAAGCATTTTCTTTCGAATATTTGGAATGTCTGCCTAACATTTTTCAGTGTCATTAGTTTTACATGGTACCATAAATAGAATGTTTCATTTATACTTTGATATCCCACCGATACAATTTAATGACGTATATTCTTATTACAGACGGAATGCTATGAAAGTTATCACTTTTGAAAAGTTAACAATAGACAAATTGAAAAGTTCTAAATAAACTAAGACTTAATCATCGGAAATGCGCTTGTCGCCTTTCAAACTGAAATTTCTTTAGAGCTCCAAATACAGGGACTTACTTTTGTATTGAAGTAAATTGGTTTCAAATGATATATTTGTATATCAGTTGCATATACTAATTTGTTATATCAACTTTTTATGCAGAAAAAGCTTGGAAAAGAGGATATACTCGTAGTATACATAACGTCTTTATAATTTTGTATAAAATGTTAATTTTAAATGGGTTTTTATGGGTAGGTGTTAAAGAAACTATTTTGTTTTATTCAGTTTATTTTAAAATTTTCATCATTTTTCATTACTTGCTGATATGGAAATAATCATTTCGCCTATAATCTAATTTCTGATCATATAACCCTCCAATTGGTCGTTTAGTGAAAAAAGTTATTCTAAGGGATCCTGATTTAAGTCAATAAATATATTTTTGGTGAAAATATCCTTTCAGATGAATAAGAAGTTATTTTAAAGACTTTATACTTATCAATATACTCCGCTGAAATGGCATCAAGGTGTTAGAGCCAACTTTTCTAAGATTTTGCATGGTTTTCTCTATTTCATCCAAAATTTTGTTTTGCTGAAACAAAGCTAAACCGTATGCCTTTGCTCCCTGGAATCAGTCATCGGTTTTCAATTATATTTCAGTCTTATTTGAAACACATCAGATAACAAACTAATAAAACTAATCACAAATTACGCGGTAAAGCGCCATACAAAACATACAAAACTGTACGTTAAGCTCATCGCATGCGCGTGGGCCTATCTTCTCGAGTAGTATTATTATGAGCTACAGTTAACCTATAATGGAAGAACTAGGCCTAGATGTTAGGCCTTTGTTCTTTCAGAATGTTTTATATGTGAATTGAACTATAACTCGTCAAATAATAATAATAATAATAATATGTCTTTATTTTTTAGATAAATTGTAACAAACAAAAAAAAACTCATTTGATGAGGGAGGCGGCATTCAACATATAATACAACAACAAATAGTAGCAATCCCTGGAAAAGGACATTCATTCGTGACAATTCGCACTTTTATACAGGTACTCAAAGTTTTGCATTAGGTCGTAGACTGTCTGTTGTCAACTTTTACCAAATAATCTATTACTACACTTTTAGGACTGGTTTGGTGACATTTAAAAGCTATTAAGCATTGAAGCACGTGTACTTTAAAGATTCTCATAATACCGTGTGTTTTTTTCACGTATGAGAATACATTAAGGACCTCTGTTCCTTCTAACCTAACCGGACTACAACGCGATCACTTGAGGATTAGCTGAGATTGGTAGCACTTTACGTGGGTGTTATGATATGTTTCCGAATATTATTAAGTGTCCATACCTGTTTTTGTGACCTTATAAACTTGTCAAGTTGGTAGTGTTGTAATTTTGGTATTGGACCACCTATCCGTAGAAAAATGAATGTCAGATTTATGTCGATCGCTTCACACCTTGAGGTAAGTTCAGTACAATGAGGAAGTGCATTTCGTACTTTGCTTCAAGCAGTTTCTGAAGGCTATTTTGATGGCCACCATCGAAGTTTTCTCTTTATTTGGTTGCTTGCTATTCCATTTTACCTATTGTTAGAAACGAAGGTTTATCGAAGAACGCAAAATGCTCCTATCACATCAACCATTTTTTTTTTTGAAAAAAATGGACGTTAGTCGACTGTTAGAACAATCAGTATGTGCCTCTTTCTGGTTATGAACCATCGAAAGTAGTCAGGAGCCCAAGGCTCGTAGAAAATAATTTCTTGCATGTGAAATATTGTATTTGCTGAATGATATCCGACAGAGAAGTTGTTTGAACAATTAGTTAGTAATGTTGTGACTTTATTTTATCCTTAGCAAAGACTAGCACTGCTATTCTATTTAACTAAATACCTTGATCCTTACATACATATGAATAACATAAAACAATAGAAAAATGTGAAAATATGCTACACAAAAGATTACAAAATATAATACATCATCACTAGTAGCAGAACTGTACGTAAATGAACGCTCAAATGAGTCTTATGAATGGGGAGACTTAGTAACTGTACATTACGTGCATTAGTGCTTTACTCCATAATGTTTGAATAATATTTTTCATACAGATTTTTTTGTATAATACCTTGAACTTAACTGTTGCAGATATCAGACAAATTAGACGTAAAGCTGTTCTTAAGATTTAACCACTTAATTTCTTTGATAAGTGTGGAGCAGTGAGCGCTTCTATTAACACCATAGACAAAGCTTGGCAGTTTCTTCACTGATAGCTGGTTTAAGCACGGGCCAAACACCACATTATGGTAGTCTATAAAATGTAACACCTAAACTACCGTATTTAACAAATAAAATAGTTATACATTTTCTTGAACAGCTATTTCTTGCTGTTAAAATGTACTAGATATTCAAAAATATTTTTCTCAGATTGGAAGTATTGAAACAATAGTGAAGCGCCTTCATCGAAAAGGTTAAAAGTGCAAAACAGTTCATATTGGGAAGACAAATTATCATATAAAATACCGCATTCGACAGGTAGAAGTTGAAAATGTACAGTATCAGAAATACCTCATAGCACATAATTTAAAATGGGAAGCTCACATTACCAACAAGATTAAGGAAGTCAACTCACTGATATTATTTTAAAAACCATTCTCCTGCTATGATAGAGAAGCTATACAAGATATACATTCGACCAAAACTTGAATATACACACAGCGTATGCAGTCCCTATTTGGTCAAACACATTGAACTACTAAAAAGATTACAGCGTAATATAACACGAATTCCAACAGAGATTCGACATTTGCCAGATGAAGAAGAACCAGTGGATGCAAGCTGGATAAGGAACTAGAAGACAGAGGACAGAACGTTTACTGCATTATCTAGCCCAAAACAGACTTTTCCGACTACTGTTGTAGTGCTAAAAATAAGAATAATGATTTAAATAATAACGTGTTTTTAAAAACAAAAGTTTTTATTTCATTAATTTTTTATTTTCAAGTATTTATGATCTCAAATAATAAGTTTGGTAATTTCTATTTATTAACAGGTTTCCATGAAACCTCTTACTTTATTTGTATTTTAAAGTTTTGATAGATGTACATATATATCACATAATGATAAATCAATGTTTAGCGGCGATCGTCATATGGAACTCAGAATGTATTTCTCTCATTAAGGATTTTTATTTAATACCCATATCACAACGGTGACTATGGAAATTATAAATATCCTTTTGGCGGTGACCGTCATATTTGATTTGGAATGAAGTCACTTTGATGATGTTTCCTTCAACTGTTTAGGGGTGACAATGGAAATTATAATTCGCATTTTACGGTAGCAGTCATGTTATGTTGCTTGTTATGTTTCTCCCATAAAGCTTTTTAATTTGGTACCTGTCTCATAGGATGACTATAGAAATTAAAAATCCCACCTTACCTGTATGCGGTCGCCATATTAGATTCAGAATGACGTCACCTTGCTCATTGCTTTTCTCTCTCTTTTATCTGATACCCATATGGTGGGGTATATGAAAAATTTAATTCGTCATTTTGCGGAAATCACCATATTGAATTTAGAAGGATGTCACTTTACTTATTGAATTTGTATATGTAATAGGCGTTCCCATGGATACGATAAATTGTCATTTTGTAGCATCCACTATATTGGATCCAAAATGGCAGCTGCATTGTTTAAGGTTAACTGGTTCAAAATTCAGTTCCCAGATTTGTCCCACACATACATACTAAGATACATACAAACAGGTCAAGTTAAATGAAAGGTTGTAATTAGAGCATTTTAAGTAGAATTAAAAATAATTTAATTGGTCATACTGTTGTATCATCTATTGCTATGCAATTGCCCAGCATCAAATGAATAAGTATACTTCGCATGCTCACCATATTATTGTGTTTAACATAGGTTAATTCATAGCGGACACTAGTTATTTTACCACCCTAAGGCATAAAAGAGATCGTGGGTTGCCAACTTAACTCCAGGAAAATCTATTAGGAAGTTACCTACCTAGTAGATTTAATCAAACTATCGTAGTACGCAAACATTGATAAATATTAAGAGCGCTGGCACTCGTCGATATTTCACTTCCTTCGCCACTGGGAAAAAGTTTTGTACAAAAATTATTTCAAACATGTACATCACGAATAAGCATGTCACTCATTTCCGTGGGGGTCTGTCTGTCGGTATGGCCGTTAATCCTATAATAATCTATAACTCAGAAGTACCGCACGGACTTTGAAATTCTTACACAAAAAACGCAAAAGCTTCGTATTTTTTGGAAGTAGGTCCAATGGTGGCAGAGAAAGAGGCCATAAGAGAAAAAAAAATAAATGAATAACAATAGCTCAAACTTCGTCGTGGAGGCCACTGCCGACTGTACCTAGCGTTATAAATAGGTAACTAACTTGAACTTTTTGTGCACTGACATACCGCTAGAAAGCTATAGTAGAACATTTACATATTTTAGGAGTATTTGGCTATTACGAGTACGGATTACGTTAGCGTTCTGTAATGCCCGTGTAAATGATGACTTAATTGTTTTTATATATACTCATATATTTTTCTTAAATTTACGATCCTTTCGCCTAACCTTCAATTTGTGTTACTCAGTATAGTATGATGGTTCTTTAAATATTTCTTCAAGAAGATTGACTCAGTACTATATATACATATACAACTGACGAACCGACATAAATGAGAAACACGAACTTGCGTGAAGCAGATATCCTTAAGCAACAGAAGACTTGCGAACTGAAGTTCGAATATTATCGCAAATTCAATACTTATATCGATTAAGTTTAGGTAATCGTAGATTTAGAATATCGATTGATGGCGGAACTACTGCCCAAAAAATAAAAATCGCTCGAACGGAGTATTACAACGTTTCAGAGATTTCTGCTCATTTTCAGACACTTTTTGGAAGTGGTTGAATATCGTAGGTTGCCAGCTCTATGCTGTAAATGGTTGTAAATTGTTGCATGTTTGGTGTCAGTGACAGACCTTCTATTGTTGAGAAGCTGCTGATCCCGATAATATTATGCACCTGTCAGACATAATGAGTGACAATAGCTCTCGCAATTTCTGCCAAATAATTATATAGTTTGATATGTAGAGGTCAAAGATTCATCGTACCTAAGTGAACCTCATGATTCGGTTCTGCTCTTTGAAATGTCTTGACTTTTCTTAGAAGCCTCTTTGAGAAATGTTCAAACTAATTTTCCGATTTGTTGGCATTTAGCAAATACAATAACCTTTTGAGGATAAACGAGATTATTACAAATTTTTTCCTGTAGATTTCGGATATTTTTCATATAATCGCCTATTTATGTTGGTCTACTTCTAGGTATTTTTGTTCTTTCGACATAGCTATTTCCTATTGGCATAATCGACCTATGTGACCATAATACATCAATGAAACTTATGTAACTTTGCAATCGTAATACACGGTATCATTTACCTGATCCATTGTAGGTAAATGTGACCCATGGTACAATAACTAATATAAATAGCTCGGTTACGCCATCAAAACAAAGTCAAAGCAATGAGTATGACGCTAATTGGTGGTTGTTGTGCCCTCGGAGATGCCCCAATCAAACAGAGCTAGCAGTGCGGCAAACCTTGCATTACCGCTCGAAAAAATGGAACGCTGAACGTTAGCAAATTAGTAGCTGCGGATGCAAGGAAAAGTCTCAACGTGATCGGATCACTCGAAAATCGAACCACGAATTTGTGCCAAGGTCCGCAGATATGAAACAATGAAGTTTGTTTGCATTGCTAATATTAGCGGTTTGTTTGTGTGGTAATAGGAGGGCTTCTGGTCATTTAAATCGATCATGTTCTGGCTAGACGCACAGCAGGAGCGCTAGACTGGACAGGAATGAATTCTGAGAATAGTTGAACTGTCGCGTCGCTCAGCGAATATCAATAGAAACATGTCATTGTCAGTCAGAGCGGTCCGTAGGACCTTTGCCTTGTTTAAAGAATCGTAAGACGAGAGAAATAAACGAAGAAGGGAGAGCAAAGAGAAGTGCGTCAATTTGATGGGTGCCTTGGTAAATTTATTTATTATTATTTTGGTTGGATCCAGAGTCGCACAGTCTAATTTTGTTCACAGTGCAAGCCGCGGACTTGTGAACTTCAGTATCAGTCAAAGACATTCTATTACGTCATATCCCAAAAACAACGGGAAAGTTAAATGATAAAAGTCCGATGTGCAATGTGCTCATACTAATATATAATAAGTTACAATCGGCGTTGCGTGCGCGACGTGATACTGCGACACTGCATCGTCGTGGTAGCCACTGCCGACTGCAGCAAGCGCTATAAGTAGGTAACTAACTCGAACTTTTTGTCTATGGACATACCGCTATACCGCTACAGTATAACATACACATATATTTTAGGAATATGTGTGCCTTGGCATTGTTCACTAGTATTCGGGAATTTGAAATCGACTTTAAGATAGAGATTGGTTGTTGA